ATGGGGTCCCATTGCTGCTTTGGCGACTTCCCGGAGGAGTTTGCGCCCCCCTCGAAGTACTCCGGCAAGGAGGGGCGCCGCTTTCTGCTGGCCACCGACGCCGCTTCGGATGGGACAGGGCCCGCAAGGCGGGGGGAACGCTGACAGGGCGTGGAGTAGATGTCACTGGCCGGCTGCCCGCAACTCAGGCGATCGCAAACATTGATCAAGGGAGCCGCATTTTGGGGAGGGCACCTCCCCCGATCCATGGATTTGGCGACCGCGCGCCAAATCCATTGTATCGCTAATCCAGGTTTACGCGCCCCCGAGCAGCGGGCGCCACCGCCGCACCAGCGTTAGATCGATGCATCTTCAGGATCCCTCCAGCTCCAATCATCCACCGCTGTGAGAGAGTGCGCAGGATACTTCGCCCATCATCATGCAGTTGGTGTGCCAACGTTCTCTTTGGCAGCCGCTGTCCCCCAAGCCGCAACCAGGCCATCCAGAGGTTCCCCCGAGCTCTCCCGAAGGGTCGCCGCACAAGCATGCCAGATCCGTGGTCCAGCCCCCCTCGAGCTCACCTCTGTGACCTCAGTGGCCAGCTGATTCTTGGGGGGCGTGCGTGGACGCGGCCCTGGGAGCCAGACCCAGGGGGGCTTCTGCCCGACATCTGCGCGGGAGCGGTCCCCGCTGGAGAGCCCAGACGGCTCGGAGTCCGATGGAGAACCCAGACGAAGTCCAGCGCCATCTTGGCGGCCGCGTGGGTTTGCACGCGCCAAGTTGTGAGGGCAAGAGTACAGTCAAGACGCGAAAACAAGTGGCACGCGTGCCCTGGCTCTTGCACCAAGGAGCTGCGAGGGACAGGAGGCTTTCGCCTCCTTCCTCCAGGAGTTTCCTTCTGTGGCCGGGGGGGAAGGACGAACGAACGAACGACGGCGACGAACGAAAATGAAGAGGTCCGAGCTCTAGAACGCAGCTGTGCAAGAAAATAACGACCTATTCAGGTTCAGGAGGGGCTCCGACATTTGGGCGCTTTAGATGTGGACCGGGTGGCTCGTTCGCGGGCGAGGCTCGCCGTGGCCAGAGCAGCCCCTTCTCTCCTTGACCAGCGTTCCCCGTCGATGGCAGCACGATGCTTGTAGGTCGCTCTCCCCGCGCTCCCTCTTTCAGCGCCCTGGTGCGCGCAGAACGCTGGAGGAGGGCCCCGAGGCCATCGAGCTGCCCTCCAGCCGTCGGCTGGTGGGCCTCTCGTGGCTCAAGGCGGGGCACCAGCCGGGCGGCAAGATCTCCGCGGACCCCTCCACGGAGCCCTGGCTCCCGGTCGCCGCCCTGGGGCCGCCACGGCTCCGGAGGCCTCCCTGCCTCCCCCGGGAGCCGGGCCTCCCCGCCCCCGAGGGCAGCGCCCGCATGCAGGCAGTGGCGAAGCGTCCTGGCTCGCCTCTAGCCCTACCAAACAATGTTCTGAGGACCTTTTGTGGTGTCCACGAAATGTTCTTAGAACATTTCTGGCGGAGTCTGTCTTGCTTGAACACATCAGGCTTATGGTTTCAGAACATGGTTTTTGTTCTTAGAACGTCTTTGGGTTCTAAGAACATGTCGTGGTAGGGCTATAGGAATGCCGGGACGGTCGGTCCCTGCTCAACGCATGGCGGCCCCGCCCCATGTTGGCGCACCCTTCACGCGCATCGTGGCCACATGTGGATATCCACCGGAGGCCTCAGCAGCAGCGCCCGCATGGCGGCCCCGCCCCAGTTTGCAGCCACGCGCAGAGGGGGGTGGGGGGAGGGGGGAGGGCTTCTTGGAAGCACCCCTGCTTCTCAGAAGGCGCGGGCCTTGTCTAGAGATGTCAGGCCGGCGCCTTCTGAGAAGTAGCCTCCTTCTAAGAAGCCCTCCCCCCTCCCTCCACCCCCTCGTGCGCGCCGCCAGAGTTTTGCACACCCTCACGCTTCGTGGCCCCATGAGGAGCTCCACCGAAGGCACCCATCCGCCACCCTGTGCGATGGGGGCAGCGCGGCCCCCCGCGGCTGCAGGTGCGGGGTGCGAGGAGCACGGGCCGTGGCATGCGCCCGATCGAGAGGTGGGCTTCGGCGGGCAGACCGCGGCCGCGGTGGGTGCGGTAGGCGTGGACTGCGGGCAGGTCCTCGTCGGGCCACGCTTATGTCGGGCACGTCCCTCTACAGAAGGAATGTTGAAAAATAATCCAAAAATACTCTGGGGACAATTTGTTGATTCATGTTTAGGTATGGTTTGAATACATGTTGATTTGTGTTTAAGTTTCTTTCGTCCAAAGTCCGCCTGTAGGGGGACATGCCCGACCTAAGGCCACGGCCGGGCCGCGGGGCGGGGTCGCGGGTGGGTCGTTGTGCGGGTTGCGGGGCGACGGCGGCGGGGTCCAGTTCGTGGTTCGACTTCGATTTTTGGGCCGGCCTGGTGCGGTTCGATGCCCGGTGTTCGGGCGCTCCGATGCGGCTTGCACGGCGTTGTCGTGCATCCTGGCGCGGCCGACGAGATTCGAGTTCGGATCCGTGCCGATGCAACGAGACCGACGTACATTCCGATTCTATCCGACTTCCTGATTCGGTGCTGGCCGATCTTGCCGACATGATAAGAGCTTGCATTGCGGAACAAAAGTATGAGACCCTTCGATCCCCGCGCCCTACCTCAAAAAAGAGCAAAGATGAACGTAACGATGTAGAGAAAAACGTGCGCCTCGAACTTGATGTTTTTGGCCTCGCGTGAATTTGGTTCGAGTCATCAGTAAGCGAAAGCCCTCATTCTGACACCTGCAAGGAATGGGCCTGGCGTGCAGAGCAGAGACTCAGACGTTGTGTGCGCGAGCACCCCCGGCCTGCTCCCCCTCCCGCCCTCCTGCCCCTGCTCCACCTCCATCGTGGCTCGAGGCTCCGCCAGTGCCCCACCGAGCCTTCGGGAATGAACCTTCATTGGGGGAACAAAAAGTGACATAAACATAAAAACTCGGAGGTCCGCGTGGATTTCTCGGATCGGCGCTGGACCCCCCTCCCTGGCGCGCGGAGCGCGCCAGGGGCGGCGCCGGAGGCGCCGCTGGGGGGCCCAGCGCCGATCCGAGAAATCCGCGCGGATCTCCGAGTTTTTATGTTTATGCCACTTTTTGTTCCCCTATTCATGTGCCCCCCGCCCCGGCAACCCCTCGGGGCGGGCCCCGGCCACTGGCCCGCGCGGCCCTGCTGGCCTCCCTCCTGCGCTGCTGCGGCGCGGTGTGGGCCGCGGAGGGGCGCGCGCCAGCGCTCTCCGCCGCGGCCGCCCCGGCGGAGCGGGCCCCGCGGAGTTCCCGCCAGCCCGCCGCCGCGGTCGCCGTCGCGCCCGAGGGCGCCGCTGTGCCCGCGCCGGCCCCCGAGGCGCAGGCTGCGCTGCGGCCCAGGCTCTCGGCGGCCCCCGCGGCCGCGGGGCAGTCGCTGTCGTCCGCCCTGTCGCCTGCCGCGCCCTGGCTGTCGGTGGCGCTGGTGGCGCTGGGCGGCGGCGACGCGCGGCTGCCGCGCGCCGGCGGCTCCAGCCGGAACGCCTCGGCTGCCGCAGGGCCCGCTGGGGGCCCCCGGGCAGGGCCGCTGCTTGTGGAGCGGCACCGCGACCGCGCCCGCGCGGCTGCCAGTCACAACGAAAAACGCCCCCCCCCCTTCCCCCGCCCCCCACCTGGCCCCCCTCCCCCTTCTGCAGAAACGGGGCTGGGCCGAAGAGCTTCGGATTCCGATGGTGACGATGCTCCGCCGCGCCAAAAGTGCCACGAAAAGCTGACTCTCTTCACTACCTGCCCCCCACGCCCTCTGGGGAGGGGGGCGAGGTGGGGGTGGGGGCTGCCCCTCCCCCCTTCCATTGAGTCGGACGTGTCCCTCTACAGGCGGGATATTCAAAAATAGTCCAAAAATATTGTGGGGACGATCTTTTGACTAGTTTTGAACATGTTTGGAGTATGTGTTATTTTGGTTCAAAATCCGCCTGTAGGGTAGGGGGACATGCCCGACCCTTCCAGGCTGGAGCAGCGGCTGGCGGGAATCACAACCTGGTGAGGGAGCTCTTCTCGAGGCTCGCGGGCAAGGCGAGCACGCTCTGTCTGGCCGTGCACGCCCTCGCCGCCAAGGCGAGCATCGCCAGCAGAGCGGTCCTGCGAGCGCTGCGCGGCTCCGCGAGCGCCGCGTCGCAGGACGGCGCGCCCGGCGCGTGGCTGGCCGTTGCGGCTGCCGTCGGGGATGCCCAGGAGGCGAGCGCCGAGGTCGGAGGAGGGCCCGTCGAGACAATGGCGGCATTCGCTGGCGTTTGTCAGGTTGACCCAGAAGGGGTTCCAGCGACAAAGGGGTGCTGCAATAGATTTGGTGCAATTGATCTGTGGGGTTGCAGTACATTTGGGGCGTGCAATACATTTCTGGAGCGCAGATGTGTTGCTGGATGTTCGCGTGCAGCATGCCAGTTGCAACACGATGCAACACAGTTCTCCGGCGCAGGACATCTGCAGTACGATTGCCCCAGATCTGTTGCACCACCCCCTTGCAGCTGGACCCCTTCTGGGGTCACCCCCAGTTTTGGGGTCCCCTGTTTGGGCCTCCTGGAGGCGTCTCGTCGCCACGGCCGCATCCGCTTCGGATCACGGCTCCGGATGGGCCCCGGGGGGTGTCTCAGGGCCGAGCGCAGGGGCCGCCGTCGTCGCAGCGCCGGCTCCCCGAGAGGTGGACGCCCAGGCGGGCCGGCAGGTGTCCCAGGGCGTCGGGCTGCTGGTGGCGCTGCTGCTCCTCGTGGCCTGCTGGGTCGCCGAGCTGCTGCTCACGCAGCGGCCCGATGCCCCAGAGAGGCTCAAGCGGTGGCGAAGCGTCCGGGCGTGCCTGTAGGCCTACCAAACAATCATCCAAGAAGCTGTTGTGGTTTCCACGCTACGTTCTTAGAGCCTTTCCCTGGCTGGGACTGCCTTGCTTTAACACATCGGGTTTGTGTTCTAAGAGCATTGGTTTTATGATTCGAACGTTTTGGAGTTCTAAGAAAGATTCGTAGTAGGCCTATGGGAATGCCGGAACGGTTAGTCCATGCTCAAGAGGCGAGCCTCCTCGCCTTTGTACATCGACTCTCTGGGCTTTGTCCGGTTCCTCTTCGCGTGGCACTTGGTCTTCGACAATTTCTACCAGACGGAGTCCGAGACCTCTGCCGACTGTGGGGCCTGGGCGTTGCTCGCGCGGTGGGGCAACACGGCCGTGCCGTTCTTCTTCCTCAGCAGCGGCTTCGTCAACACGTACGAGAAGTTGATCGCCGACCCCTCGAGCACGAAGACGCAGAGCACGTTCGCCCGGAAGACCACCATTCAAGAGGATGCGTTTTTTGGCATGCTCAGGAGTGTATCCCGATGGTGGCCATTATACGCGCTCGCTCTGTCGCTGTGTGCTCTACAAATGTACAACTACGACGCAGAGGAGTGGACCCACTACGTGGCTGGCTTGCTGCTCATCAGTGGACTCATCTGGACCCCTCACAGCTCAAGCGGCATCGGTGTCGCCACGGCCACCGGCTGGCCCTACCTGTTCCAGGACCAGTACTTGTGCTTCATGATGGTATACCTGCTGACGCTGCCATTCGGGATCGAGGTGCTCAACGAGTGCTCGGACCAGCACCTCTGGTTCCTGATGGGAATGTGCGTCTGGGTCACGGTGCCCACCACTCTGATGGAGTGGTATTTCCTCTCTGAAGGCTTCGCGCCGTTCAACCTCATGCAGATGTTCCCAGCCTTCGTGTTTGGGCAGAGCCTCGCCTGCTGGTTCGTGCGCAACTGCCTGACCTACACGAGGGCCATGACCTACGAGCCCCGGCCCCTGCAGGACTTACACTGGTGCACCCGCTTCGGAGTGACGCTAGGCTTCGTCGTTCTCAGCGTCATGTTCTTCAGTTTCTCGCCGTACGACAAGCTGCCTCTGCTCGAGAAGGACACATTCATTCCGTTGTTCAAGGGCGGTCTGCTGCCTCTGCTGGGCATGCTCATGGTGGGCCTCGCCGCGGGCTGCGACCCGCTTGCCAAGCTGTTCGCGCGGAGGCCGTTCAGGTGGGGCAGCAGGGTCACGATGGCCACATTCCTGTTCCAGGTACCAGCCATCCACGCTTATCAGGAGGTGATGGGGTACCCGGACGACTTCAGCTGGGGCGCGTGCGCGTGGTTGCTGACGGTGACGGTCTCCGTGCACTACCTCCTGGAGCGCCCATACCGCAAGGCGTTGGGTTTTCGCGAGAAGTGAGCGGCCAGCCCAGCGGCGGCCCCGAAAATTTCGTCACCATCCTCATCTTGTTCGCCATGCTCCCCGGCCACCAATCATCACGACCACTACCACTGGCAAGGCGCCACCACCACCACAACCCATACCTCTTCGACTTGTGAGAAAAGCTACCGTGGCACGTTTTCCGCCATTTCCGACCTCCTGGGGCCATCGCCAGGCCCCAGGTACCGCACTTGTGAGTATCGCTATCGGTGGAGCTCCTTGTGGGGCCATGGAACGCTCGAGGGATGTGCTGGGCACCGCCGCCATGCGGATTGAGCCATTGGGGCCTTTGGTGGAGCTGTCTATGGGGCCGCGAAGCGTGTGAAGGGTGTGCTGACATGGGTGCGGCGCCGCCATGCGGACAATGCCATTGGGGCCTTCGGTGGAGACCCCATGGGGCCACGAACCGTGTGACAGGTGTGCCGAAATGGTTGCGGTGCCGCCATGCGGGCTGTGCCCTTCGGCGGAGCTCCCTCCAATGGGGCCGCGAATCGTGGGCGGGGCCGCCATGCAGACTGTGCCACTGGGGCCTTCGGTGGAGCACCCGGTGGGGCCACGCAACGTGTGAGGGGTATGCCGGACTCGGTGCGGTGCCGCCATGCGGGCGTTGCCATTTGGGCCTACGGTGGGGCTCCCTATGGGGCCACGAAACGTGTGAGGGATGTGCCGAAATGGGTGCGGGTGACGCATGCGGGCGGTGGCACTGTGGCCTGCGGTGGAGCCCCCTACGGGGCCACGAAGCGTGTGACGGGTGTGCCGAAGCTGGTGTAGCGCCGCCATGCGGGCTGTGCCCTTCGGCGGAGCTCCCTCCCATGGGGCCGCGAAACGTGTGAGAGGTACACCGAAATGGGGGCGGTGCCGCCATGCGGGCGCTGCCGTTTGGGCCTACGGTGGAGCTTCCTTTGGGGCCACAACGGGTGAAGAGTGTGCTGGACTGGGTACGGCGGTGGCCCCATGCGAGCTCTGCCATTGGGTCCTTCGGTGGAGCTCCCTATGGGGCCACGAAGCGTGTGAGGGGTGTGCCGAATTGTGCGCGGAGCCGCCATGCGGACCGTGCTGCTAAGGGGCCACGAAACGTGCGAGGGGTGGTCCGAAATGGGCGCGTTGCCGCCACATTTGGTGGAGATGCCTGTGGCGCCACGACGCCACGACGCGTGTGAGGGGTGTGCCGAAATTTGCGCGGCGCCGCCATGCAGAGTGTGCCACTGGGGCCTTAGGTGGAGCTCCCTATGGAGCCACGGAACGTGTGAAGGGTGTGCCGAAATCTGTGCGGCGCCGCCATGCAAATTGGTGCCAGTGGGGCCTTCGGTGGAGCTCCCTATGGGGCCACAAAAAGAGTGAGGGGTGTGCCGAAATAGTTGCGGAGGCGCCATGCGGACAATGCCAGTGGCACCTTCGGTGGCGCTCCCTATGGGGCCACGAAGTGTGCGAGGGGTGCGCCGAAATCGACGACGACGACGACGACGACGACGACGACGACGACGACGACGACGATGACGATGATGATGATGATGATGATGATGATGATGATGATGATGATGATCATGGTGATGATGATGATGATGATGGTGATGATGATGGTGATGGTGATGGTGCTGGTGATGGTGATCATGAACGATGCTCATGATGGTGATGATGGTGATGATGATGGTGGTGGTGATGATGACAATGACGGTGATTGTCATGATGATGATGATGGTGATGATGATGATATTGGGATGATGATACTGATGGTGATGATGTTGTTGTTGTTGATGGTAATACTGATGGTGGTGGTGGAGATGATGATGTCGATGATGATGATGATGATGATGATGATGATGATGATGATGATGAAGATGAAGTCGATGATGATGAAAACGATGCTGGTGACGATGACGATGGTTGTGCTGATGACTGTGATGCTGATGATGATGACCATGACCATGACCATGACCATGAATATGACCATGACCATGACCATGACCATGACCATGACCATGACCATGACGACGACGACGACGATGACGATGACGATGACGATGATCACGATGAGGGCACGCGTAGGGCAGAGGCAGGGATGGGAGGAGGGGGGAGGAGGAGGAAAAGGAGGAGGAGCACGAGGAGGAGGAGGAGGAGGAGGAGGAGAGGACTGACGCAGGGCGCTTTCCGTTCAAAACGACGACCCAACACCACAGGACGGTTTCGAACTAGGTTGTCGAAGGACGCAAGCATATGCAGTTGTGAGTGCCACCACTATGAGAACCGCTTCTCGTGGAGCTCTCCAGAAGCGCGTGAAGGGTGCGCCGAAACGGGGCGGGGCTGCCGTGCCGGCGCTCCCACCGGGGCCTTCGGTGGAGCTCCATATGGGGCTACGAAACCCATGAGTGAGTGGTGTGCCGAAGTGGGTGCGGCGCCGCCATGGGGGCAATGCCATTTGGGCCTTCGGTGGAGCTTCCCATGGGGCCACGAAGGGGTGTGCCGAAATGGGGGCGGTGCCGCCACGCGGGCGTTGCCATTTGGGCCAACGGTGGAGCCCCCCCCCCTATGGGGCCAGGTCGCGCGACGGGTGTGCCCCAGTGGATGTGGTGCTGCCGTGCGGGCGCTGCCATTCGGGCCTTCAGTGGAGCCCCCAATGGAGCCACAAAGCGTGTGAAGGGTGCGCCGAAAATGGGTGGGGCCGCAATGTGGGCGCGCCCGCAGGAGACTTCGGTGGAGCCCCCTATGCGGCCACGAAACGTGTGAGGGTGGACACGGGTGCTGTGCCGCAATGCGGGCGGGGGCACTGGGGCCTTCGGTGGAGCTCCCTATAGGGCCACGAAACGTGTGAGGGGTGTGCCGACATGCGCATGCAGAGGGCAGAGGCAGAGATGGGAGGAGGAAGGGAGGAGGGAGGGACGAGGACAGGACGCGGGGCGCTGCTGATTCAAGACGCAGACCCAACACCACAGGATGGTGGGGAAGAGATAAGGATGGAAAGCCAGACCCGAGGGAGGGGTCGGAACCTCCAGGGGAGCACGTTGCGGAAAAAAATGTGTCCGAGTTTTTGCCGTTACCATCACAATTGCCACTGCAACCAATAGGTCTGCAACCGCAAGTGCCACCAGTAATCTCGACTTCTGTCAAGGCAGCAACGATGATGATGACGGTCACAGCGACGACACCTACAACCACGACCACGACGCTGACCCCGGGATTGGGAACCGAATGGCACCAACACCTCGCGCCCGAAACCCGGCCTCGCGACCGAAATGGCGACAAGCAAGGCCGCCTCGATTTTGTTCGAGGCGTCCGGTGCTCAGGTCCTCATCTTTCTCCTCTTCCTCCTCGAAGAGGGAGGCGGAGGGCAAGGGCGAGGACAAAGAGGAGGAGGATGAGCCCCATCGTCCTCCGCGCCCGTCGCGCCGCAGCTGGCAACTGGGAGGGCGTCGGCCTGCGAGATGGCGACGACGACGGCGACGACGACGATAACGACGACGAGGACGACGGAGACTACGAGGACGAAGACGACGACGAGGACGGCGATTTGGGCGGGGACGAGGACGACGACGACGACGACGACGAGGACGAGGATGACGACGACGACGACAACGACGACGACGAGGACGAGGAGGAAGACGAGGGTGACGACGACGACGACGCTATGGCGCTATGGCGAAAGCGCGGGTCCCGAGTGCAAGCTCGGCCGCACCAATTGCATCACTCGCGAGGGAACGACTCTCTCGACTTCGGCGGGAGCCCTCGCGCCAGAAGCCGCAATACTTCCATCCCAGTGCGGGTCGGAGGCTCGCACTTCACCCGCAGGCCGCGACAGCTTTGCGCCGCGAAGCACCCACATGTCGAGCAATATACAAAATCCCAATCAGCTCGGACAGGGAATGGGTCTCATGGCAGTGGATGTCCAACGGGTGAGCAGCAGCACCCACAACCGCGGGGCCAGGGTCCAAAACTTGATCCTCGCTCCTCGACGCAGCGAAGCGAGCAAATCGGCTGCCCGTGTACGCACTGGGCCAGAAGGACGACATAGGTCCTCGCACACTGAATTTGGAGCGACAGATATTACACTTGATCAGAGCACGGAGCGCAACTGGGCAGTGGCCCTGCTCACGCACCCTCGCCACACGTGCCGGCGCGAAGCTTCGCGCCCGACGAAGCACGTGACCGAGACCTTCATCCCGACCGATGCGCGCATACCGCCCCTTCTCGTCCTTATCCTCTTTTTCCCCCCTTCCTCTTCCTTCTGTCTTCCCCCTCCTCTTCCTCCTGATCCTCCTTCTCATCCTCTTCTTCCTCCTCCTCCTCCTTCCCCTCCTTCTCCCCCTAAAAGTCGAGAAAACGTCACGCTGGATGGCGACCAAGCACCGAAGGATAACCACATGGAGGTCGTCCTGAGCAAACACAAGTGCGAGCAGCCAAGTGCTCTGGAACCTCCGCCCTCCGCGCGGCCTCCAACGCACATGCATGGGCGGCTCCGTGCAAAAGCCGTTCAATACGAGTGAAACCCAGGGCGCTGGCTTGGGTTTCTGGGGTGTGGCTTTTGGTCCAACGCAGGTCCACTTCCCCTCCCCGTCAATCCAGGACGCTCCAGAGGGTCACCCATGAATCAGCCATTCCGTTGGCAGCCATGGCCGACCTCGGCTTTCGAAACCCTCGAACGACAGGAAGGTCATCGCTGAAAATCAGAACTCTCCCAGAGGTATATCTGAGCACGAAAATCAACGACTGGAGCTCCGCGCGAGGAGACGACTGATCAGGGCCAGGCAGGGCACCAGCAAAACCACCATCAACATCATCTAAAGTGGTGGACAGGCGGACGCAAGCCCATCCGCACCTCCTTAGTCTGGAATCCTTAGCATACTGCCCCCCCGATCCGTTTATCCCCAAAACTCCTCCTTCCTTGACTTCCCGATCCTCGAAAGATCCCCAGAACCAGGTCTCGTCCAAGGGCGCTGAGAGATGCCTCGTGGCGCGATCCAGCAGCCAGCCAGGGCCACAGGGCA